ACACAAAACCCTGCTGTGGAGTGGCTCAAGTGGTAGAATGCCTGCCTAGCAAGTGTGAGGCCCTGAGTTCCCTCAGGACCCCCCACCCCCATGACTCATAATAATAAAAAACTTAGTGGTGGAGGGATAGATACATAGATCAGTGGAGTAGAAGACTAAGATATAACCCCACACATGGACAGCCAATTGACAGAGATGCCAGAGTAGTTCAGTATGGAGTGGATATTGTGAACATACTAAATGCTACTGAATTACACCTTCCTCCCCTCTCCTCCCCTTCTTCGCCCCCCTCCCCCCGTCTCTCGATCTCTCTCTCTCTCTCTCTCACCCCCCACCCTCCCTTCTTCTCTCTCTCTCTCTCTTTCTTCTCTCTCACTCACTGGAAATCTGGGCCTCATGCTTGCTAGGCAGGTGCTCTACCACTTGTTCCATTCTATTAGCTCTTAAATAATGCACTTTGAAATGGTGAATTTTAGTGGTATGTGAATTTCATCTTAGAAAATAAATATAGGATGAATAGTCTTCAACGAATAGTGCTGGAGTAATTGGACACCATAGGCATAACCAAAAAACAAAACCGTGACCAAAACCTTCCACCTTATAATCCACAGAATAAACCATCAAGTTTAAAAGGTTTTGCTGTGTGAACAGCTCTGTTAGGATGAAAAAAGGCAACAGATTGGGAGACATGATCTGCAACCCACTTATATTGGTGATTTTAAACTGCAGAACAATTCATGTTGTAGAATATATAAAGAATTCTCAAGTCCTATTAGATAATATGCAAAAGACAGGAAGAGACATCTCACTACAAAGGACATTTGGATGGAAAATAAGCAGAGGAAAAGGTACTCGCTATCACTAGCCATCAGGGGAATGCAGATCAAGGCCACAGTGAATTATCTCACACTAGGAAAAGCTAAAATTAAAAATAGTGATAGGGTTGTTGGAGTGACTTAAGTGGTAGAGTGTCTGCCTAGCAGGTGGGAAGGCCCTGAGTTCAAACTCCAGTTCCACCAAAACAAAACAAAAAAAAAAAAGAAAAAAAATAGTGACAATACCAACTGCTGGAGAGAATATAGTGCATTAAGTCTCATATGTTGCTGATAATAATGTAAAAAGGTCCAGCCACTCTGGAAAAATAGTTTGACAGTTTGTTTAAAAAGAAAAAAACAAGCTGGGTGCTGGTGGCTCACGCCTGTAATCCTAGCTACTCAGCAGGCAGAGATGTGGAGGAAGCCAGCCTTGCAGTTGGAAGCCAGCCCTGGCAAATAGTTTGTGACATCTTATCTCAAAAAAAAACCCTTCACAAAAAAAAAAAAAAAAAAAAGGGCTGGCTCAAGGTATAGGCCCTGAGTTCAAGCTGCAGTACTGAAAAAAATTCAAGCACTCAGGAGGCTGACACAGGAGGATGGCAAGTTCAAGGTGAGCCTAGGCTACACAGCAAAACCCTGTTTGTTTAATCTGTGGATATGAACCCAGACCAGTGGATGTAAAATGTGCAGATTCGGAGGGCTGACTATACATGAAGTGGCCAGGATAAGCAAATTTACATACAGAGAAAGTAGAGTGGTGGCTGCCTAGGGCTGGCCATGCAGAGTGGATTGGGGACCTGGGATGTGACCGCTAATGGGAATGGGGTTTCTTTTTGGAGTGATAAAATGTTTGAAAGTTGATCATAGTAGTTAATTGCACAGCTTCCAGAATGTACAGAAAGTCATTGACTTGTACACTTTAAGTGTGTGACTTGTATGTTGTGTGAATTATATCTCAGTAAGATTAAAAAAAAAGGGCAAAAACCTAAGCATGTTTGTTGTATGACTTAGTGTTAATTCCTGGACTCTTCACCCAAAAGAAAACAAAGTTTATATTTACACAAAAACCTGTATATTATTTATAACAGCCCCATTTGCAATTGTAAGAAACTAGAAGGATCTACAGATTTTTGTATAGGTGAATAGTTATAAAAATGTGGTTAAACATCCACACTGTGGATACAACCTGTCAATAAAAGGGAAATAATTACTGTCACCACAGATTGAGTGGATCGTCACTATTGAGCTAAATGGAAAATAAATCTGAAATTGGGAGTTGTGTATACAGCTGAGGAGAGGGTGTTGGGATGACTGGTAAGTAACATGAGTGTGATCTTTGTGCTGATGGAAAAGTTTTGTGTCTTTTTTAATTTCAGGTGGTACTGGAGTTTGAACACAGACCCAAGGGCTTCTTGGCATGCATTCTGCCACTTGAGCCACACCCTAGCCCTTTTTTACTGTAGTTTTTTTTTTTTTTTTCAGATAGGGTCTATTGTTTTTTCCCTGGGCTGTCTTGGACGCTGGTTCTCCTACTTATGTCTGTTGTGTAGCTGGGATTACATCTGTAATTAGCAAGACCACAGATGTGTAATCACATCTGAGATGTGCTTCTGAGATGTGGTCTTGCTAATTTTTTGCCTGGACTGACCTAAACCTGCTGTTCTCCTAAAGTCTTGTTTCCCCAGCGGCTGCCATTGTAGGCTGAGACGCGGTGCCCAGGGGAAGCCATGGGCCCCTGAGGCGCGGTGCCAGGGGAAGCCTTGAGCCCAGGGCCTTGCGTTCGTTCCTTGCACAGGCGCTGTGCCGCTAGCCCCGCCCCCGCCCAGTCTGCATCTCATTAGAGAGATTGATTTATGTGACAGGTGATGATGGTACAGACACACTGAGCCAGGGCCATTGGCTCACTTGACAGAATAAGCAAATTGATCAACAAATTTTGCTATTTATGATGTAACTATTGGAGAACCTCTCTATGCTGTTTACAACTGCTCATGAATTGGCTGTTGTTTCAAAGTAGTGAGTTAAGAAAAGAAGATCCTGGTTTTTTTTTTTGTGGTAAAATGGAGACTTACTAACACGAGTGTTTTGGTTAAGAGCAAGTACAAGCTTAATGAATAAGTTAAAGCTTTTAAAAGTGTTTTAACTATAAATCATAGACTGTTTTCTAGATTTCTAACATTTTTTGGTTAGGCCTGGCTTTAAAAATTTTATTTATGAGAGCTAAATAGTATATAATAAAAAAGAACAAAACTAGTTAATTTTTATGTACCTATATTTATATAGTACTATAGAGAAAAGGATTATAGATGTCCTCATATTCTAAGATTAAATTAATTGATTTCTGCTGTTTTAATCATATCACTAAAAATCTAAATGAATCGAAGTATTATAAGTGATAATATTTTCTTTTGTGGAAAGACTATTTTCAGCTTCAGTATTTAGGATTGCCAGCTTAATAAACCAAACAGGAAAGATTTTTTGTTTTGTTTTGTCATCATTATTATTGTTGCTTTTATTTTATTTTATTGTTTTTTCGGAGACAGGGCCTTGCTATGTTTAAGGCTGGTCTTAAATCCGTGATTCTCCTGCCTCAGCCTCCTGAGTGCTAGGTGTGTATCGCCATGCCTAGCTTTTATTATATTAATAAATCTTTATGGACGATACTCAATTTTGTGTGTGTGAATACATTCTATCTCCATTACAACACATTTGAATAAACTATTTTTTCTTGAAACCAACCTGAGTATATTTAAAAAGAAAAGAATACTGGTGATCTTAAACAACTGTAGTAAAGAAATCATTTTGCAACAAAGTATGAGGGTATTAAGATTATTAAGTAAGCTAGAGCCATTTAGAAGGAAAGGGATAACATTTTAGGGATTTCTGTCAGCATCTAGTAGTGTTGGAAGAGTCAGGAAGATGGCTGGACACTACAGATAAGTCTTGCTTTGGGGCACAGGCCTTTTATGCAGTCACTTACATCACAGATTTAGCCCTCTGTTTGGAATGTAGATGTTTATGTAGTCCTCAGGATTGTTTCAAAGGTCAGCATATTTTCCCATCAAGTTGATAACATTCATTTAGTAGGGCCGTCCCCCTAATGTTGGGATTTAGACCAAATTTTCTTTTCTAAATCAAGATTACTTGGGCATGTTGGTTTCTTAGAGGTCATGGATGTGACCTGTTTTGTCTTGTTCTGTCCTGGGGAGGGGATAAGCATGCTGTTACAGTGAAGCCCTGGGCTGGTTGTCAGCATTTACACAAACTGATGCAGAGATAGGGTTGTAGAGTGTAGTGATAGAGGAGGAGGGATAATAGCAAAACAGTAAGTGGGTAATACTCAAACAGATCTGCAGTTGATGTACTGAGTAATGTGTAAGCATATTACTTAAAATTGTATTTTACTATGATGGTGTGATTATATTGATAGGAAGAATGGATAATAGCAAGAAATGATTAGAAAATGCCCAAAGTAGGTAAATCATAATAATTAAATGATTTAGATTTGAATACTTAGCCACATGTGATGAGCTGGAGTTGAGATATGCTGTTTATATAAAATATAGAGCTGAATTTTGAAGAGGTAATCATAGAAGAGTACAAAATATCCTATTAATATATTTTGACTATAAAATATTTTAGACATGTTAAATTATTAAAAGTAAATTCACATGTTTTTACTTTTTAAGTTGTGGCCATTGGAAAACTAAAACTTACGTATGTGGCTTGCATTGTAGTCTTGGACTCTGTTACTCTAGAATCTACTATAGATTGTTTTGGTGGTACTGGGGTTTGAACTCATGGCTTCAGATTTGCAAGGCAGGTACTCTATCACTTGAGTCCTTGGCCCTTGGCTCTACTATAGTTTAGATAGTGTGATTAAAATTGGTTACCTCTAGGGAGTAGACTAAGCCTGAGTAAAGGTGGTATAAAGGAGAATTATTTTTATTATGAGTCCTTTGTTGCTTGCTTTTAAAAAATTTGATGAAGTTTATTAAGAAACACTCTTTAACAAAAGGCTGTGTTCTCTACCTTAAAAATCTTAATTTGTCATGTTTTAAATTGCATAGTATATGTTAACCATAGAAGTAAAGCTTGTAACTGAAGGAAATACTTACCTTGTCCACAGTTTTTTATTTTAATTTGTTGTATCAGAAATGAAGTACTGTTTTTCCTGCTGTTCAGCTTATTGCAGGAGTGACTAGGACACTACCTTCTTGAAGTAATGCCCACAGAAAGCGGAAGTTGTTCAGCTGCTCGCCAAGCAAAACAAAAACGCAAATCACATAGCCTTTCTATACGAAGAACTAACAGCTCAGAACAAGAGAGGACGGGACTACCAAGAGAAATGTTAGAAGGACAAGTAAGTTAATAATTGATTTAAAGATGGTGGTTGTGTTAATAGTGTTATTCTAATAGTCAAATGCATACAGGCTTATAAGTAGAAGAAAGGTTTGGATTCCCAAATCTTTTACCTTTTAATAAATGCATTAAAACTACTTTAAATTCAGGAGCATACACAGAAGTAGATTTCTGGGTTAACATACTTATAATATCTAAAAAGACAGGTATGAATATGAATTGGTTTTATTTGTACAAGTTAATTGACAGTATAGTTTTGTATTTTCTGTCTCAAATAGTCTTAAGAAAAAAAGAGCTTCCTACAGTTTTAATGATTCTTTTTGTTCTCTGAAGTATTTTGGAACCAGATCTTTTAGTAACTTAACTTAGCTTTATCCTGTCTCTGCTGTAGTAGGCATACTGTCATTTGATTAAATGCAGTAATCTCATTCATAAAGATAAATTTTGTATATTCTGCTTCTTTGTTGAAAATGCTTTGAGTTTTACAAGATTATTGTGAAGCCCAGACAAAAGTATATGTTATATTAAAATAATCTATAGATACATCTAACATATGCTGCACATACAAGTATGTGTATAAATATATGTCAACAGTTGGAATTCATCAGCTATAATGGTTCAGGAAAATAAAGCTCAGATCTGAGAAATGGGTTCTTATGAATATTGACTATTTTTTTCCTTTTTTTGTGGAATGCTTCATGAACTTGCATGTTGTCCTCAGCCAGGGGCCATGCTAATCTCTGAATTATTCTAGTTTTAGTATATGTGTTGCTGAAGTGAGCACTGAATGTTGGATCATGTTAGAACATGGGTGAATTTGTGCCTGGACATAACCTGTACAAAGGCAATGATGCCCACTCAGAACGTAACAGTTGCTGCCTCAAAGTAGATACTCAGAATTCAGTTACTATTGTCGTCATCCCTCAGTATCCCGAGGATATGAAGTTTTGTTAATGTGTCAAGTCCTTATATACAGTGGTACATTATTTGCATGGAACCTAGAGATGCTATGTAAAACAGTTGCTGTACTGTATTTAGCAAATGATAAGGAAGAAGTCTGCACACGTTTAATTCTAGTGTCCACATTTTTTTTTTTTTTTTTGAGATAGGGTCTTGCTACGTAGCCCAGGTTGGCTTTAAATCCATGGTCCTCTTGTCTTAGCCTCCCTATACCTGGGATTATAGGCATGTACCGCTATGACTGGCTTTTGTCAAATATTTTTGGTCTTTTATTGGTTGACTATATAAGGTTAGAATCCATGTATATTGAGGATCAACTGTCCCTTATTCTGTTTTATGTAAAAAATGATTACATTTTAATTTAATGTTGGAAATAAAATCATAAAAACAGGTTTGATTTTCTTAGTGTGTTATTTTGCTGTACCGCAAAGTACCACAAACTACGGGGCTTAACCAACAGATTTATTTTCTCACAATGTGGAGGCTGAAATCTGAGATGAAGGTGTGGAAAGCATTGGCTTGTCCTGATGTCTCTCACGTGGCTTGTAGGCAGCTCTGTCTGTCCTTACATGATCTTTCTTCCCTGCATATCCTAGTCTGCTCTTACAAGGATGCCAGTCATCATGGCCTGCCATTGTGACTGTGTGACTGCCTTTTACCTAACTCTAAATGTAGTCACACACTGAGTACTGGGGATTGAGGCATCAGCATACGAATTTTGGTAGACACAAGTGAGCCAGTAGAGAAAGTTATGTGGTAAGACTTCAGTGGTGATGGAAACATTTCTACCTGTGCTAGCTTATAAGGGAGCCACAAGGTGCACCTGACTGTTGAGCACTTGAAATGTGGTTGGTGTGAATTGGAACCAAAATCACTTTACTTAGAAATTTAAATAGTTATGTGGCTGGTGTCTATTATAGTGGACAGGCAATCAGCCTAGGATAGTTTCTAGATAGTCTTTTATTTACTTACACTTTTAGCTGTGAGAATTCTATAGCATCTTTTGCTGGTATAGTCTAGAGTTACCTCCCACGTATTCTTCTCTTGGCCTTCTTGAGTGCTTGTCCTCCATTGTGATGTAGCACACAGAGATAATTGCATCTCACAGTCACTGTCATGAAGGTAATTCAGAATTCTTTAAGCTGAACACCTTAGTCTCATGCACCACTCTAATGTCTTGCTTCTTTGTGCCCCCCACATTCCCTGGAAAGTACTTATTTGTTCAGTGAGTACAGTTGTTTGGAGTGGAACCAACCAGCATGTTCTGTAAGTGGTCAGTGTAAGGTGTTCTGCATTCCCTTTACAGCAGGAGGGAAGAGAGTGCTAAGTGTTTGGTGCAAGCAGTTGGCATGGTAGGTATAAGTGGAATGATGTGAGAATGTAGAGTTGTTGATTGCCACTAGATTGAATTATAGTAGTAACCACTTTCTAGACAAAGTATATAGTAATGTTCTTTTAGTTGAGGAATGTTATAAAAAAAGAGTGAAGAGTAGTCTGAATGATGCTATGCTAGGTTTAACTACATTCATAAATGATGTAGTTTAGAAAGCAGTGGTTAGTTCAGCAACTGTGTACAGGTCTGTAGTTGCAGAGTACTGCTAAATCTGTATGTCTGTATGCATGAATGCATATATGTGCCTGCCTGTCTGTCTGTCTGTGTATCTATCTATGTATCTATCTGTCTATCTATGTATGCAGCACTGACTGTAGCTTAAAGAGCTGCTTCTTGCATATATGTTCTGTTTTTTTTCAGGGGTATGGTCAGTGTTGATGTGATGAAATGCAAATTCATTTATAAGCTTTACTGAATCATAGTAGCTTTTCTGTCCTGAATTTTCTCAAGTGGTGCCAGAAGTTCAACACCTGTTTTAGGCTTTGTGAAAGTAAGTGGCACAAGAAAGAACTGATAGGAAAGGTTGAAGAGTAATTAAGGCAGAAAAGTCTCTTGGCTTCTAGTGAGAAAGTTCTCATTTTACTATTTTTAATTTCTTGATTATTTTATAAAGTGAGATTAGTGCTTTGTTTTCTGAAATGCATTTCAGCCTTTTTTTCTGTAACAATTACTTTTATAATAAAGTGCATTTAATTATTAGGTAAATACAACATTTTAGTTCTGAATAATAAAGATCTTAAAACATTAAGGGATCTGGTGTAGTGGTGTACTCCTGTAATTCTCGTTAGAAGCTGAAGGAAGGAGGACCAGGAGTTCAAGACTATCCTGCCTAATAGTGAGACCATGTCTCAATAAAACCCCAAACCAAACCAAACCAAAGTTGGATATTTAAGAAGAGATCTGGCATTACGTGGAAGTCAGAAAGGCTTCTGTAAGGATTTGCTAGATGGGAATGTTCCACAGAGAGAGTTGAACATGCATAGACCACAAGGTAGGGCTGAAAGTTAAATTGTATTTTTTAGTTCTGGACAAGTTCATGTTTGCAGTTATTGGAACTTTTTTTCTTTGATAGTTTAGTTTTTAATTTTTCATTGTTGTTTTAAATTTTTCTTTTTCTTCCATGTTCTTCAGTAGCATTTTAGAGGGATGATGAAATTATCAATTCTACCAGATTCAGTTTTGTTTGTTTTGAGACAGGGTCTTGCTTTGTAGTCTACACTAGCTTCAAACTTGTAATCCTCCTGCCTTAGCCTCCAAGTGCTATCACAACGTGCCTCGAATCAGCTTTTTACACTAGTGGTTCCATATATATATATATATTCTAAGAAGTTTAAAAAAATGTGAGAAATACATGATTGTCAAAACTCAGATCGCTAAAATGTTATTTCCACCAAAATTTGTCTTCCTAAGAAAATTCCTTCCTGTAAAAGGAATTTAGATTCCTGAAAAGAAATTTCATAAGTCCTGTATATCTTTTTTTTTTAAATTTGCAACTCATCAAATATAAAAAAAATTGTGCTGTGTGTAAATTTAAAAGTTACTCTATTACACCAGTAGTACTTAAGTATTGGAACATTATTTTAGAAATACTTGTTGAAAGTGTTTTTTTGAAAATTACTTTGAGTGCCTTGGCAGGACACATGTACAAAATATTATGTAGGCCATACCCTCAAGGAGATTAGAGGAGAATGAATACTATATTAAGCAGTCTTTTATATATTAGCAGGATCTAGGAAAAGTATTTTGTAAACTTATTTACAAAATAAGTTATTTGTTATCTTGGATGCTGTTCACTCATTTGACCCTATTTAAAAATTTAGTTTCTTTTCATTTCCTTCCCTTGACCTTTTAGATAGAGACAAGATGTGCAGAGACATGAAGAATGGCTCAACTGGGAACTTAAAAGTTAATATTTTCACTTAACTAATAGACATTTTGCTCTTTTAGGTGAGATTTTTCTTCTTCCCCCTTTTCATAGTCATCTTAGTAATTAAGTAGAGTTACAGAAGTATCTAGTTTGCTGTGCTTAAAGCACAGTGGATGTAATGAGATGATAAAACACATCTATTAGTGTATAGCCTGTTAAAACACAATTATAGTATATGATACAACTTAAAGACCACGTATAAGTTCACTTACAAGAATTGCCTTTGTTGTCCACATATTTGGAAATTTTTGAATAAGGTAAGCTTATATTCTGTGTCAATGCAAAACAGAGCTCTTGCTCCAAAGGGAATAAGAGTTTATTCTGAGCCAGTTATGCATGAACAAGGCCCAGAACATGGATGCAAGTACCCTCAAATAACATGCTCCGCTGTGAAGATACTGCATAAACTTTTATAGCCCCCGAATGAAAGGATGTCATGCATCAGTGCTTTTACCAATAAATTGGTGGGGGCATCAGGTAGGTGGACTGCATACAGCAGGACAGAGAAATCTCTTACAAGTTTCAGATGTTATCTTACAACATTCTTAGCTTCAGGGTTGGTAGAAGCTAGAGGTCTGCTCAGTTTAGCAATATATTCTAAAAGAATGTTAGCTTAGATAAAGAGGTTGATAGTAAGTGGCTACTAAGGGGGACTGAAGATAGCCCAAGATACTTTTGGCTCTTGCTCTGCAGCATCACATCTCTCTATGCCTGGTGGTCTAGGTGGCCAGTCAGTCTGCAGGAATTTAGCACACATGTGCTACTTCAGAGAGCTTCACTTCATACTTGTGAGTGGAGAAATTTTGTTACTTTGAAGAAGTGCTTGTTCTTAAATCTTGTATTCCCCTAGGTAACCACTTATACAATTTGATTATAGTTCCTCTATAGAAATTTGAAACTTTTTTTTTTTTGTGCGTGTTAGGGATTGAACCCATGCCCTTGTGCTTGCGAAGCACATGCCCTACCACTGAGCTGTACTCCCAGCCAGACTTTAAAATTCTGTAAACATTTTATGTATAAGAAATAGATAATTATATAAGAGTTTAAGGTAAAAGATAATTCACTTTGAAAAATGTGTATTGGTACTTGGTATTAGACTTTCTCCCTCATTCATTTATTCATTCTAAACAAAATCTTTCTCTTCTACAGGATTCTAAACTGCCTTCCTCAGTTCGTACTACTCTTTTGGAACTGTTTGGTCAAATAGAAAGAGAATTTGAAAACCTGTATATTGAAAACTTGGAATGTGAGTATCTCTTATCTGAATATACTTTTTAAATTTTTCACGTCTCCATAGAATTTGTTCAGAGTAAGATTTTTGGGTACATATTCATGGCTATATTAATTTTCTGTTCTGCTGTAACAAACTTAGTGGCTTAAAATAACACAAATTATTATGTTACATTTCTGTAGACCTGGCACAATTCTCCCCAGACTAAAGGTGAACTATGCTCCCTTCTGGAGGCTCAAGGGATGAACATTTCCTGCTTGTTTGTACTGTGACAGAATTCAGTTCCTTGCAGTTTTAGGACAGGTTCCCTTGCTACACTGCTTGGTTCATGGTTCCCCTCCCCCTTGGTGATGGATCCTCTTGTGCTTTCCTGACCAATCCTTCTGTCTCCCCTCCACATGTAAGAACAAACATTCTAGGATTGGGTCCCTGGGATAATGCAGGGTGATCTCTCCACCTGAAGAGCTCCTTTTACCTTGTGAGGTAACATATTTACCAGTTGTGGGAATTGAAGCCTGGGAATCTTTGAGGGGGCCATTATTCTACCTGTTGCACCTCCCAATTCTAATTGTGATTTTGTAAAAGATAAATATGCACTATAAATTGAGAAAACTTTGATTCTTGTGTTTCTTTATATGATACCAAAATTATGCATTATCTGATTGATTAAAGGTCAGATTTTTTTGGTTTTTATTTTGGAAGTAATGCCTTACCTATGCTTATAAAAAAAAAAAACACAGTATAAAAAAAGAAAAGATCTGCTATTACCCCTTCACCCATTGCAGTCTTCAAAGGAAGACATTTTCTACACTTTTTGCTTTTAGTTCTTCTGGTGATTATTTCTATAAACATAAATAATCTACTGCCAGTTTTAGATCTGTCCACCTTAGGTTGTATGCATTAATGCTTCACCGTAAGACGTTAGAAAATGATCATGCCTTTTATCATCTTTCACTGCTCCATTACTGCCAGTTTTTATTTTTATAGGAGTTGTGTTTATAAAATTTGTATTGTGCACACTAATAAAGCCTTCCATGCTTTATCTATAAGTTGACTCCAGAAATTGAATACTAACAATACTGTGTTATTAGATTATTTTTTACTTCATAATTATTGTGGTTGGATCAGTAATGAAGAGAATGCAATCCTATGTCATATGTAAACTTTGTTGATTTTAAAGTTCTTTTAAGCACTAGGTTTTTTTTTTTTTTTTGGCGGCACTGGGGTTTGAACTCAGCCTTATGCTTGCTAGGCAAGCGTTCTTACCACTTGAGCCACTCCAGCAGCCCGAAGCCCTAGCGTTTTAATAACTGAAGTATTACTGAGTTTCCATTATGATCTAAAGCCTTATGTTTTATAAGTTCATGGAGTTTGTTTAAGAAATCATGGGATTGTGAATTACTGGTCATGAATTACTGGAAGGTACTTTGAGGTTTGCATAGTCTAACACTTACAGGTTTTGGTGTCTCCTGACTACCCATAAGAAAGAGTCCAAGTTTCTTAGATTGGGTATTGTTTAGAGCCTTTTGCCATAATGCTATTCCTGACTTTACCTGGTTCTGGGCTTTGGCCAGACCAGTATCCTGCTTATGCAGTTCCAGGAGGCTGAGCAAAAGGGTAGGCTGCAGAGTGGGGTGGACCTGTGTGCAGATCAGATCCCACCTGTGCCACGCCAGTAGCTTTGACTTTCCTGGCCGTGTCTTCAGTTCCACAGCTTGGCCAACAGGATAGATGCCCCAGACCTGCTCTGGATGGCCTTCTGATGCACAGAAGGACCTGTGTCCTCTTGTTTTTCTTCTCTGTATCACTGCTTGTTCTGTGCTTTACAGCTGGTGTCCTTCCTTTCATGTTCTCCACCCCGCACACACACACTATAACTCTTTAATTCCTGTTGAGTTTTCAGATCTTTTCTGGATTTTTAAATCTTTGTTATATGTAATTATCAGTTGGAGATTTTGTGGTGCCAAACACCAAGAGTTACATGTTGTTATTGTTTGTTTTCTTCTTAGTTGCATTATCCTCAGTTAGACTAACAATAATCTGTTGAATTTTGGACAGTTTCAGAATAATGTTTTTAATTGTACAGAATCAACACAAACTATACCGATGTACAGGTGCCCTGCTTGAGACCCTGATAGCAGCATCTTCACAGGGTTGCAAAGTATATGAGGTTTAATTTGGAATGACATCTGGAATGATGACTTGAGTTTTTAGAAGCCATAAATTGTAATCTTGCTTTCAGAATGTTTTTCATATCTTTATTTTGATAATACTAACGTAAAACATTTTTTACATGTGCACATTTTGGAAGTGGTAAGTATACTTAAACAAAAACATCTTACATGTTTGAAAACACTTTTTTTATTCCCAGTGCGTAGAGAAATTGATACTCTTAATGAACGCTTAGCTGCTGAAGGACAGGCGATTGATGGGGCAGAACTGAGTAAGGGCCAACTCAAAACAAAAGGTAAGGTGAATGCTTATAAAAGTATTGCCTGTAGATTACTTGTCAAGGAAATTTGGAATTTAATGAAGGATACTGACTTCTTTGCTTTTTGCTGACAGCAAAACTTGAAATACATACTTTAGGTATGGGTCTAGATGAAAAAAAAGAACAAGGAAGCTTGAGTCCTTGTTCCAGCTCTGCTGCTGTCTCCACATCTTGGTGGGCAAGCAGATCATTTAGGCTTCACTTTTGTTCTGTATAAGACAAAGATGTACTCTGTGTTGCTGTGGTTTTTTAGTTGGACAATATTTGATTGTTGATTCTGTCTCTGCAGCCAGTCACAGTACCAGTCAGCTTTCTCAGAAACTAAAGACCACTTACAAGGCTTCCACCAGCAAGGTATGCAGGGCGCTGGCTCTTGAACCAGTCATGTGGTGTTTAAGGTGTGCAGACGTGTACTTTAAATTGCATATTTTTCAATTAGAAATGTGTAATAGAAAAAGAAAAAATGTCTGGTTGCTAGGAAAGTTTAATTTTTAAAGAATTTCATATGTTAAGTGGCTATAGTATATATATGCTTAAGACTAACTTGTCCTAATACTCATCAAAATCAATATGTTATGTGTTAGTAAATATATTGTGTTTAGAGGAAAAATATATTTGCTGTTGCTAATTGGAGAAAGCTAATAAATAGATAAGGATAAGGCAATGAAAATTAAATATCAGGGCTAAAGCTACATTTTAGTTCATTATCTTTTCTTTCTATTACCTAAGTATGATGAACAAGTGAAGGTCTGTCTTCAAGGCAAGGATTTTAATTTTAAAGTTTCTTTTTTTGACCTTCTTAAAGTGGCAAGGGTGTAATTGTTTGGGAAGTCATCATATGATGGAGCAATATTTTGAGATAATTTTGTATGCATCTCTACATTGGAGTATTTCAAGTATGTAAAAGATAAATTAACTACCTTACCCTTAGTGAATGTATTCTCTTTTGGCTAAACCTGGGGGGGAAAGTTGAAATTTATAGTGAATATGCTGTGGTTACATAAATAGTTGTTGCATTTTTATTTTTCCAATTTGTTCTCTTGTGCTTAAAGTTATTTAGCATGACAGCTGCTGTGAGATTATCTGCAATTAATAGGGCAAATTGTCTTTCTGCTGTTTCTCCTTATTTGAGTTTTTGGCAGTTGTTATTTAGAAGAAAATACGAGTATTGCTGACATTTTCTGTTTACTTTGAGAACATCTAGAATGTAAGTTGCTAATGTATTTGATTTTTTTTGTCATATAATATCTAGCTCACACTAGTTTTAATCAATTAAATTTTTTTCTTCAAAATGAGGTGTGAAATTATGTTCTTCCTCATGTAATTTCTTGTTACATTATATGGAATTACATTGCTTATTCTGGTGCTTACAGTTGTATGTATGCAATGAGTGATCTTAGAGTTCCAAAACTTCCTGATTATTGTGAAGTGGAGGAAGATCTGATTATATAAAGTTATCCTTTGCCATGTGCAATAAAAAATAAGGTTTGGACAAAGCTAAATATATGTACAATAATATTTTGCTTTAAAATATATGTTAGAACTATTTAAAGCCCAGTCATTTTAGGGTTAGAAAATTCATATAAATTTATAAGAAACATATTAGTAGTGACCTTTGTAGCATTTTTCACACGGTGCATACCCATCTTAAAAATACAAAACATCTGAAAATTGAAGAAATAATTTAGTAACAGAATATATTCTGGTTTGTACTACAGCATGGATTCTTGGTATTAAAGCTAAGCATGAATGCAACAAGAAAAATGCTGCAGTCTAGATTCATTACTTTCTGTCCTTCTGACTCAGAGCCATGAAAAGGCAAGTCGCATGTTTGGTGAGATAGTGGGAATACAAAAGTGTTTTAAGTAAACCCAGAAGAGGTTTTTCAACTTCCTGGGTGGCCAATGACATGTTCCTAATGCTTTATTGGGAGGAGGTAAGACAGTCTAACCTATAAAATACCTTAAATTTGTGAAAATATTTGCAAATATTTTTATAAAGTACCTTTCATTGCAGAAAAAAAGCCCTTTATGATTTTTTTCAGAAGTGCTTTAGATTGTACCTCAGTTGAAATGATTTAGAATGACAGGCATAAGCATCATTTAATTGCTTCATTCTGCCACTTTTCTGTATGAACATTCCTTCTAAGTAATTCCATCTGTTTTATTGGGCCTCTAATTGTGACTAAGTCAGTGTCTTTAAGAATAAAGACGTGTAGGGGGCATTTTGGAAGCAACATGTGACACGATATGTTAACGGTATTCATAAACAGCTTATTATTTTCTCAAATAATACCAAAAATACAGTTGGGTTTTCATGGCAGTAATCTCTCCGTTCTTACCCTATGTATGGGATAGGTGAACAGTAATAGTATTATTTATATTAGAAATGGTGGGAGACTTGGAAAATGAAATTTACTACAGCTTATCATGGGAAAAGTATTATCCCTTCTAAAATGTTGTAATATTATATTTGTTTAACATCTGAATGACACCGTCAGTAAATGAAAGCACTTTCTCATATTGTGAAGGTATAATTTTGCTGGGTTGAATTGGCTGAATAACTTTGAGAAAGGAAAGAAGATATGATGAGTTAGAAGTTGAGAAACCCTTTTATATTTTCTGATAAATTTAAACCAAGTCAAATAGAATCTGTATGTTACTGTAAAAATGTTAGTGTCTTCATCAAGCATTTGTTTTAGTCTTTTACTATATCTGGGGATAGTTTAAAATGCACATACCTAATGGATGAAACAGTGGATTATACTTTAAATGTGTTTGTGTAATTCTTATACATTCTTTAGGACTTTGCTGAATCAGTGTTTAAAATAAGCTGTATGTTGCCACCAATTTTTATTTTTCACTTGGTTTTATTATTCTTAATAATCTGTATTTTTCTGTTTACCTAAAAACTGAGAAATCTTTTATCTAAGAAGAATTTCGAAATCAAACTAAAGAAATGTTTGTGTTAAGTTTCTTCCTCACTCTATATTTTTTTCTTATAAGAGAAAAGGAAAATTGCTTTCTGTATATGTTCATTATATGAGACAGTATCTTACTATGTGTATATATTATTGTCTGTGTAGTTTTCATGTCTGTTTTCCATTAGAATGTGAGCTTCCAAAAGGCAAGGAGTCCCTTTGCCTCCTCCATCTAGCACAGTACCTGGCTTCGAGCAAGTGTTCAATAAACAATCTTGAACAAACCTGCTCATCTGTAATAAGTGTGGTCTTTTGATTCCTCCCTCATATGTGGGCTTTTTCCTTCAGAAAATATGTGGTCGTTGTAGTAAATTATCAAAATTGTAAAAAAAATGAAAGTTCTCCTATGAGCACAGTAATTAGTGTTAATGGTTTGGGATATTATTCCTGATTTTTCATGTCTGGCTGGCTAGATAGCTCTTTGTTTTTTTAGAGAATTTGGAAATTTTGTCTGATGATTTGGATTTGTGGAAGAGTGACTTGAAATGCCTGCCTATGCCCTTCGTCTGTAGTAAGACATTTCTCCCCTGACTTCTCTTGTATCATACTGTGGAGTGGTAGAAGTCTTCTGAAGCCCCTAGAAAGGACTTCATTCTCTGTGACACTGAGCTGAATGAGCCTAGTGATACTGTGCAAGGTGTCTGAGTTCTGTTCATGCTTGTTTTGTGTTCCTTCAGTGTTTATAATGATTTATGTTTGTAAGCGATTTACATATTCTTAAGACATCTTTTTGCTATTTTAACTTTTTCACTTACAAAACTTCAGTAAATGTTTAAAAAGACCCCTTTCCTTCTCAATTTTAGATTGTCTCCAGCTTTAAGACCACCACGTCCAGGGCTGTTTGCCAGCTTGTGAAGGAGTACATTGGCCACAGGGATGGGATCTGGGATGTCAGTGTTGCGAGAACACAGCCAGTGGTGCTGGGGACAGCATCTGCTGGTGAGTCAGATGCAGACAGGTTCAGCTGCCTCATAGAAATGTGGCTTTCTTTGATAACTGGTAAAATTGACTTTCAGTTAGAGTAGCAGAGTGGTATTTGGAAGCAGGTGTGGTGGGGGTGTCATTAGAACTAAAGTGCTTGCCTTGATGTGGGAGCATCTGCTCTGAAGGCCTGTAATCCTGTCTTTCTGTAGTCCTGTGGGCAGAATGTCAGAGCCACCAGTGGACTTAGATTTCTGAGGAAGGAAATATTTGGATTTAACTTACTAGTGTTTAGGAGTCAGTATTTAAATGGAGATACAGCGTAAGTGGAATATTTTTAAAATGTTATGTATATTTTGATTGGCTTTGATCTTTGGTATTCATAGCCAGGTGTGTTTCTGATTTGGGAATATACTTGACATTGTTCTTCCAGTAGTGAAGTATAACTCAGGGAAGCACTCTGGGAATAAATGGAAAGTGCACATTCTTTAGGGAGCGTAGCTGGTTGTGAAGGCCTTCGGGAGTCACAGTAGGGTGTTAGAGAGAGACACTTTTTCTCTTGCCACAAATAAGATATTTTATGAGAGCTAAAGGTGGTATAACATAATACCCCTTCAGATACAAATTGCTAGAATTAAAAATGGTGCTTAAAAGTCATTGAAAATGACTCTTCTCAGCCTTTTTTTTTTGTGTTTTTTTTTGGTGGTACTGGGGTTTGAACTCAGGACCTCACTAGGCAAGCGTTCTACCACTTGAGCCACTCCACCATCTCTCAATTGTGCATTTTAAAGATGGAATAGAACATGGTAAACTAGTTACAAAGGTGAAGAAAGTTCTTTCTCTTTTTTTGAAACTGTTTATATGTACCTGAGCACCTCATATTGATTTTTGAAATTGCAATTAAAAAAAAAATAGTGGAGTCTTCTTCCTGTAAGCAGCCTGAGTTCACCTGTGAAAATGATTTGCTCCTTTCTTGACCCAGAAAACACCACAAAATTATGCAAATTAAGACATTAAAATCTCCATGTTCGCTTTAATAATACCCAAGAAACTGCCCAGGCTGTCAAGGGTTTGCATATTTGAAAAGCTACCAAGTATCTGAAAGATTGTAACCCTAGCCACTCAGGAGGCAGAGATGAGGAGAGCTGTGGTTTAAGGCCAGACCGGGCAAAACAAAACAAAACAAAAAAATGAGACCCTATATAAAAGTACCTAATACAAAAAGGGGCTGAGCTCTTTCTGCTTCATGGAGACGAAAAGGAACAAATTGTTCCTAAACTAGAAGATGAGGTTTCACAGAAGAAACAGATATCCCTGAAGAAAAAAAAAATTATGGCACAGAATAAATTCAGCATAAAATAAAATTCAGCAGCAAATAAAAGAAAGAAAAGTGGAGCTGGCTTTGGTGGTGCATATCTTAATAAGTGTAACATTTTTGCACTTGGGAGGTGGAGGCGGAAGAATCTTGGGTTCAAAGTCAGTCTTTTTTTTTTTTTCAAGGTCAGTCTTAAGTTACGTAGTAAGACAGTGACTTCAAAAAAAAAGTGGAAAGATATTTTCTAATATTCTCGAAATTTCACTTGGAAAATTGAAATTTATTTATCAGATTTTTCTTTAACTTTATCTTTTTCCCTTTAATGTCAGTAAGAGTAAAAGACCCAAAGGAATATTCATTATCTCATGTAATGGACTTGATGCTATTTGAATTTGAATATTTGACAATGATCTGGAAAGCTCTAATAAATGGCCTCTAAAGCTGCAAGCATGGTGCTGTGAATGTAATAGTTAACTAGGAAACTGAACCCCCAGTGGTCCTTCTGCCAATTTCATGGCCTCAGACAACTCACAACTTCTCTGATCTTGGAAACATTTTTTTTTTTTTTAGATCAAATGAATTTTATAGAGTAGTCACAAGAAGTACTATTGGTAGTATAGCATACTTTTGGAGCATCTTACTCTCTTTTTAAAAAGACCATAAAATCAGTTATGGTTAAGTTATGACTTCTTTACCTTACAGACCACACGGCTTTGCTGTGGAGCATAGAGACTGGGAAATGTCTTGTTAAATATAGCCGGCCATGTGGGTCAGGTAAGTAAATAGACCCTATAATGAGAGCCAGCTGTGTTGACGGAGGTTTTAGATGTGATAGGAGATTTGCCATTTTGGTTGTCTGGGGACAGTGTGATATATTCAAGGACTAGAATAACTCTGTACCTTTAGTTTGTACATTAGTTTAAATAAAGGGAAAAAGCTTAGTCCTAACACTGTAACAAATTAGTTACATTTAATATTGTGTGTAAAACCACATGTAAGAAAATTTTATAACTGAAAATTGTTCCATTTTCAATTTACAAAATAAATATATCTATTTAAAGATTTACTTATAATAATTTAGATCTATTTTGGTAAATAAAGAATACTCCTCTGATACGTGCTTTTTGGTCTATAGTTAATTGCTACTTATAGTAGCTCTCTTCTGTCTTTTCAGTTATACCTGTTATGCGCCAGTGTCATGAAATTTTTCTCTCCCTTTCTTCCCAAAACATTCTGTGAGGTTTTGTTATAACTGCATGCCTTTTATCGTTTGCTTTCTTTGCCAAAGCTGCTCACTCATGTCTACCTAGCTTTGGGTGGACAGTGTTACTGAGTCAGTATCACCTTTAGCTTTTGCAAAGTTATAACTTGGAATGAATCTCATTCATTCCAGTGCCTTCCTGCTCATTCAAGGAGTCCTTAACTTGGGCTGGCAAGATACTACTTCTTTCCATATTCTTAGTGCCTTCTCTCCTTCAGCTATTCTCTTATCACTTGGCCTTTTATCTCTTTTTTGCCATGGTTTTACTTGTTAGTGTATAAACAAACTTGTACTTTTCCAACACCTCTCTCCATTATGCTTCTTACTTGTCTTACCTATTATCTTACAGACTGTGGTGGTGGTCCATTGATTGCAATTTCTAACATAATGCCAGGAATATATATAATAGGTACTCAAAAAAAGAACAAAATTTTGTTAAAAGAGTGAGTGCTGTGTTCTGTTTCTATGTCCTCACCTCAGATTTATTCTTTATTAGGTAAAGTTATTTTTAGGATTATATATTGCTTAAATGAACTACTTAAAGATGTCTGCAGTTTTCACTAGCACGTTCATTCCTGTATTTTAAACTAACAATAAAAATCGCTTCTAGCATTTTTCACTAGTTCCTTAGAGAAATAAAATTCTAATGGCACACCTAAAAAATTTCATTAAAAGAGACAACTTAGTGAAGTTCAGTAAAATTCCCATACATGTTCTGTGTAAGGATTATGCATTTTCTTTCCGAGGTATAGAAGTGAGGATTGTGCCTCCCCAGAGTGACTTGAGTTCAGCTCTTGTGTCAGGGCAATTGATATCGATTTCATCATTTAAGACTTAGGATTTACTTGAGGGAAAATCCTATATGGAGGTGGCTCCAGACCTACCTTAGTACCTCTCTGGGCCTCCTGCCTCAGTGTGGCTGGTTTATGGACTTAAGCTTATAGGTCTTTATGACTACCCACTGAGATACCCCAAATCTGCATTCAAGGAAGGAAAGGCAGGAAGGATAAAGATGGTGGTGCTGGATTCTTCTTTGGCTTTAGCTGTATTAAGAAATAAGACTTTTTTTTTTCATTTTCTTTTTATTTTCATATGTGCATACAAGGCTTGGTTCATTTCTCCCCCTGCCCCACCCCTCCCTTACCACCCACTCCACCCCCTCCCGCTCCCCCCCCCTCAATACCCAGCAGAAAACTATTTTGCCCTTATCTCTAATTTTGTTGTAGAGAGAGTATAAGCAATAATAGGAAGGAACAAGGGTTTTGCTGGTTGAGATAAGGATAGCTATACAGGGCATTGACTCACATTGATTTCCTGTGTGGGTGTTACCTTCTAGGTTAATTCTTTTTGATCTAACCTTTTCTCTAGTTCCTGGTCCCCTTTTCCTATTGGCCTCAGTTGCTTTAAGGTATCTGCTTTAGTTTCTCTGCGTTAAGGGCAACAAATGCTAGCTAGTTTTTAGGTGTCTTACCTATCCTCACCCCTCCCTTGTGTGCTCTCGCTTTTATCATGTGCTCAAAGTCCAATCCCCTTGTTGTGTTGCCCTTGATCTAATGTCCACATATGAGGGAGAACATACGATTTTTGGTCTTTTGGGCCAGGCTAACCTCACTCAGAATGATGTTCTCCAATTCCATCCATTTACCAGCGAATGATAACATTTCGTTCTTCTTCATGGCTGCATAAAATTCCATTGTGTATAGATACCACATTTTCTTAATCCATTCGTCAGTGCTGGGGCATCTTGGCTGTTTCCATAACTTGGCTATTGTGAATAGTGCCTGCAATAAACATGGGTGTGCAGGTGCCTCTGGAGTAACAGTCTTTTGGGTATATCCCCAAGAGTGGTATTGCTGGATCAAATGGTAGATCGATGTCCAGCTTTTTAAGTAGCCTCCAAATTTTTTTCCAGAGGTTGTACTAGTCTACATTCCCACCAACAGTGTAAGAGGTTCCTTTTTCCCCGCATCCTCGCCAACACCTGTTGTTGGTGGTGTTGCTGATGATGGCTATTCTAACAGGGGTGAGGTGGAATCTTAGTGTGGTTTTAATTTGCATTCCTTTATTGCTAGAGATGGTGAGCATTTTTTCATGTGTTTCTGGCCATTTGAATTTTCGCCTCTTTGAGAAGTTCTGTTTAGTTCACTCCCATTTCTTATTGGTTCCATTAGTTTTGGGAGAATTTAGTTTTTTAAGTTCCTGTATATTCTGGTTATCAGTCCTTTGTCTGATGTATAATTGGCAAATATTTTTCTCCCACTCTGTGGGTGTTCTCTTTCAGTTTAGAAGACTATTTCTTTGATAACAGAAGCTTTTTAGTTTTATACGGTCCCATTTAATCTATCGGCATCTCTTTAGTTGCTGTGCTTTGTGCGGGTTTTCATTGAAGAAGTTCTTTACCCTCCATACCTTCTAACTCCAGAGTATTCCTACTCTTCGGTATCAACTTAAAGAGTTTGGGGTCTGATATAAGATCCTTTGATCACATTTTGGAAGTTAAATTTGTAGGGTGATATACATGGATCTAGGTTCAGTTCTTTTGGCAGAACTGCTAAACCGTTTTGCCCAGCAGCTTTTTGTGGAAGAGGCTGCTATTTCTCCAATCGATATATTTTTAGCTCCTTGTCAAAGATAGTTGGCTCACTAGTTGTGTGGCCTTCATATCTGGATCCTCTATGTCTGTTGCACTGGTCTTCATGTCTGTTTTTCTGTGCAGTCCCATGCTGTTTTTAATTGTTATTGCTTTGTACATATAGCTTTTGAAGTCAG